CAAAACCACCAACCAGCTCCTGAGATTATCTTCCCTAGAGCTGTAGATTTTGCCCTAGGAAAAGTTCATTTAGCAACCCAACGATTCTGGCTCCCTTCAGGCACACGTGGTTCAAAGTTTAGCTCATTCCATGAGGAATCACACTCAAAACACTCATGCAGCAGCACAACACCTATCAGCTTCGCTTGAGACGATCAAGACGCTGCACTGCTAAGGCTTTCCGTCCGCTCCTGAGTTACTTCTGGTGACTCAAAAGCAGCGCCATCAACAGGCAAGCAACAAGAAAGCAAGAGATCCAGGAACTTCTTACCTTCCTCAGCCAGGTCCTTGTTAATAACCAGCTTTCCATGTCTGAGATAGTTCAGCACTGGCCCAAAGTAGGTCGGGTCTCTGTCTATTAAATAGGCACCTGTTTCATCCTAGATTAGAAAAAAAACAAAACAAAAACAAAACAAAACCCCAAAACACCACAAAAAAACCAGAACAAAAGAAACAAAAAAAACCCACAATGATTTGAACGTCCAAGCAGGAATTGCAAGCTAATATTGAGCATCTGAACAGCAACCGGGTGTTCAGACATAGCCATGTCCCCTGAAGCCAATGTCATGAAAGACATTAAAAGGAATTGAACAATGTGGTTGCAATTGCATCAGACTGATCACTCAACTCCGCCACGTGCTACACAACTCCTCTCACCCAACCAATTCCCCCCAACCACTTACCAAAAGATGACCAGCACTGTTACCATGGAAGAGCTAAGCACTAAGTGAGAACACTGAAAATTAAGGTTAAAAATAATAAAACAGGGAACTACCGGTTCGTTTGGAAACCTGCAGAATCAGGACAGAGGGTACATTCCAGCGGGGTGCAAACACCAGCTTTTCTTTTTAAATTAAAGGCAAACAAACCTGCCTTCCCTTTAACCTCAACACTTTGTTGCAAAGACTTTTGGGTTTGTCTTAGCTCAGACGTACAAATACCCACAGGGTACTGAGATAGCTGCGGGCCAAGCAAGGGTTGCATGTGCATCTTCTCAAAAAACAGTCTCCTGAAGATGCAGCTCCCACCTCCCTCGGGCAGAGAAGGAAGGGACCGGCCAAAGTGACACTCAGCTTACTGAACAAGGCTCAGCATTTGTGGAATGCAAACCACAGTCCAAGAGGTTCACCTGCAGAGCTGGTATTCTGGACAGAGAGGTCAAGGAGCACAACTGCTCTTTCCTAGATCATTTCGACTCAGTGTGAACGCCAGTGCAGAGCTGCCACACTGGGCTGGCCAGCAGGCTAAGGAGGAGCGACACGGCGGAGGTCTCGCAGATCCCCCGCTCCCTTCTGCATTCAGGTGGATCACTGCCAGCATTAATCCTTTAGTACCGACAGTTTTGGTGTGGTAGATATCCTACAGATACATACTGGAGAGACATGGCCGCACCCCAAATATTTTTTTTATTTATTCTTATTTTTAATATTCTAGTAGTTTACAGGAGATACTAAAAAGCATCCCTACCAACAAGCCCAGCTAAATTCGAATCATTCCCCCCACAAACTACATGGGATGATGATCCTTGTTGTTCCACGTGCATTTGGGCAGTAATGCTGATACGTAAAGGTTTGATTACCGAACCACGATACCTGAAAACTCTCTCTACTTAAGAGCATGAAAAGTTCCTAAAACGTTCCATCGGAAAAGAGATGGCTGATGTATTTTCAGGCACATGGGCTTGGTTTCTGGATAACTGCGCCTGTCTAACCAGGTTTGTTGAATGTAGAAAGACCCCAGCCTGAACTACAAAACCCATAAACATATCTCTATAATCACAAGCTAAACGCTTTACACGCCCAGACATGCTGCCATTTTAGAAGTGAAGGGGTGTTATGTTTTATACACAATTAACTGTTCAAGAAAATTCAAGAATATCTATTAGAACGTGCTGTCAGGTAACCCATGCCCAGTGTGGCCAGTGCATGACGCAGCCTCACCCGAATTTCTTCTGGCCTGAACTCATGGTATCACAGAAGCAACCCTGGGCACCCGAACCAGGAGACAGATGAAGTGCATAAAATGGTATATTTGTAAGGTTTCACATTTAAATATATTTATATTACCAAAACATTTCAGGAATGAACAATCTACAGATACAACCCAAAGAAATTAAATTAGCTGACAACTGTACGAATTATAAGCTGACAAGTATTATTTAATGCAGGAACAGAAACCAGGGACGTTGGAAGGGAAGATCTACGACTGCTAAAAAGAAACACTGGCTTAAAGAAAGAAACACCGTCTTTGGGTCATTGGTGGAACTGAATTGAGAAACACACAGGCTTACAAAACTGGAATTCCTCCCAGTTAAGGGAAATAAGTCTCCAGAAACAAGCTTCTTGGACTGCAGAGTGTTTTCACATCATCCTCTGCAGCAATACCAGCCACCAGCCCTCCGCCACCACAGAGACAGACTGGTGGCTCAGGAACAGAAAACAACAAAAAGCTCTAAAGGAAATCTCAAGTAAATATGGTTACCTCACTCCTTACACAAAAGGCCTCAAAAATGATTTTTTTTTATTTTCTTCTACGGACTACTGTACCCAAAATTACCCCTACCTGAGCAGGTTTCTATATAGTAAACAAGCTTCCAATAAAACCGTAAAGGGAACGAGCGATGTCGGGCCTTCTCCTTCAGCTCCCACCCAAGGAGAGGTCACCAGCGACGGGCGCTACCTGAGTGTGTCAGCCTAGCACGCACACCGCAGCTCGCCGTCAGCGCCGCTTCCAAACGTGCCTTACGCATCCTGACAGCATCGCTCTGGGGAACGCAAGATGGAATTGCTTTTGTCTTCTACCTATTCTTAACCATTTTCCTCATCATCCACAAGCTTTTTTTCCCATTCTGTCTTTCCTCATCTTACTTTTTTTCCTGTTGTACTCATTGCTTTCCTAACCGCTATTAAGTTTTCTTCCTCACCAGATTACTATCGAGAATCTATAAAACAGCTTAATCTTCACACTGATAACTACAGACGCCATGCCAAGCGTGTGTAACACGCCACACGTGAGTAAAGGGCCACCTCACTGAGTCACAGTTTACTCTACGAAGCCTTTCAGGCAACAATGTGTCTTCAAAAAATAATAAAAAAGAAAAAAAGGAACCTAAAAGTCTTATAATTCATGGTGTCAAGGTAACTTTTTCTCTTTTTTTCATGAGTAAATATCAATAGTTAAGATTTAAGAAGCCTGGCTAAATTCTAACAGTGAACACTCCAAACTCTGTCAATAGGATTCACTTTAGTGTGTGAATTCCACGCAAAATTATGAACAGACTGAACAATTCAGAGTCACCGGCCACTTGCTTCCCCAGATTACAGACATGGAAAACATGCATTAATTAACACCCTTCCGAAGGGAAAGACATGTGTCTTGGACTTGGCCCTTGCAGCTCAGGTGTGCCACAGACCAGCGCCAGGGAGTCAAGACCCAAAACGTCAACCCATCAGTAAACGCTGTAACCACATGCCAAGAATGCACAGGCAAGAGAGGCACAAAATTTCCTTCCTAGGCACCTTCCTACGGAAAAGGCCCTCTCGCTCCTCCTCCAGTGCGAGCTGCCTGGTTATCCTCTAAGCGCTCCGTGTTGAAATCACTCAGAAAAGCCGATTACGCTGGATCTTTAAGGATACTTATGTAAACACAAATCCAGTAAGAGCTGACGCAGTAATGAAGTCACCCACTCCACCTAGAACCCTCAAAATATGGGTCCTAAGTCTGTCCACACTTTCAGAATATGGTCAGGATTGGCTTTATCCACATGTACATGGAAACACACTGTATTCTCATGCGTAATTAGCATTTTGGACGCTCTAAAAGGAAGTTTTTTGGTTTATTGTAGGGTAAGAATAATAAATTGCACTTCAAGTGCAATCGAGACAGTTTAAAGGTGTAGCTACAGTTTGCACAGACATAAACAAACTAGGCTGAAGCTTGCTAGCTTGAATATTAACAGACCATGTCATCCCAGCGACGCTGCTTCCCCGGCTGACTCGTTCATTAGGCTGCCACAAGCTCTGAGCAAGCTCAACTCTTCACTGACACAACTCATGCAGGTATTTTGAAGCTACTTCCCAAGTTTCAGGTGAATACCACAAACGCCAGGCAAATCTATGCTCCAATGAGGTCTCAGTTTTCTCTCTTGCAGATATATTCTGCACCAAGAGGTGTTAACGTTTACCAGCCCAGCGGCTGACACTCAACCTTCCCTTCCATTCAGTCCAGTCACGTCACCCCACCTTTCCGCCCCAGGGGTGTTCCATACAAATTTTGCCACTCTCTGTCAGGATGCGCAACGCAAATGCTCCGGTCGTCTTTGCGCACCCAACACAGAAGTGCTAATTAGCCAAATGGGAGTCGGTATCTTTACCCAGTACTATTTTTGCATTACATTCTTCTCTCTACTGCGAGTTTTTCTTTCCTTGTCCCCTAGTCCTAGACCTTTCCCACACCTGCTCCTTTTCACGAGGACACCATTTGAAAAGACCACATTGCTGAGGTACAGCGAATTTTATTTTTTTATTACCACCCTCCTGCACCAATGTTCAGTCCAAGTTACAAATACCATGGAATTTTAGAGGAAGCCCAATAACTTGCTCTTAAATTCTCCATCACCTGGTTCAGCATGCCAATGAAGTCAGTGTAGCTCACAACCATACACCTTCTTCCCTAAGAATTAACCCTAATGCATATCTACAATCCAGCATTCATGGAGCCAGGAGACTCAAAACACAGATGTATTTTTAAAGAATTTGAAAAATATTGCCCAAAACATTTAAATGATCGTGTATTCCAGCCTCAAACATTTCCACTTCAATCTCCATACAGGCTGAGGCTCAAAGGGATCACAATGAAGACTTAGCCTGATCTTCATTTAAAACATACATAGGACTCGATTTATTTACGGTGAAATTTAACCTCTAGAAAGCAGTGATGAAACCTGACCATTTTGTTCAAGCCATTCCGATAACTAATGACCGTTGCTGTTACAAATATGTGCTTTCTAGCCTGGACGTCTGTGGCCTCACAGTGGTCTAGCCGCTGGACCTCATGGTACCTTGGCTAGACTGAACCGGCTTCACTCTTCCATTTCCAGTCTCCATGTAGGTACCCCTGGACTGAGAGGTCACTCCTTGAACTCCTTGCCAAAAAACCCACTCTTACTCTTTATAACCTTCTGCCAAATCATATTTCATCTTGTGATTGCCCTCCAAGTTCTCCAGTTTTTGAAGTGACCTTGAGCTCTGGATACCAGAATCAGGCAGAGGATTCGAGCAGGACTCAAAAGTAGGACAAAACCCATACACCTCCCTGATCCCACTTCACATTCTCCCCAAGAACAGCATTAATGCACTAGTTACAATGTCCGAAATTTATTTCCAACTAATTATCTTCATTAAGGTCAAAACCAGTCTGAAGACTTCTTCTCAAATACTCTCCCAGAACGGACCGGTGCAGAACCCACCCTGCCAAGCTCCTGGCTCAAAGCTCCGCACCCTGACAGGGGCATCGAAAAAAACAGTGCCACTGACCCGAACCGCGCAGGCAGGAGTTCTGCTACAGGCAGCAACAGGCACAGAAGTACAGTCCTATCTGGTACTAAGTCTGGATTTAGAAATAATTGTCTCCCCCACCCTCTGTGTGTTTTAAATCTTGAGCTGGATGCCCAGAACACGTTCCTCAAACTGCGTAACCTAAGAAGGGTGAGCACCAGCAGGCTGCTGGTCTAATCAGGCTACGTTCCAGACACAACCCACCTAACTAGTCAGAAATCTCATGGACAATTAAGTTTATCTCAGTTCTATCTTGAAATAATGACTACAATTAAGGTATTTTTTAGTGCTGACAGTTAAAGGTGTGCCGCCCGGAAGATTTTGATTTCTCTAAAGCATTTGGTGCTTGCTTGCTTCCTTCCGTAGGAGATTCTACCCCAGTACAATCACACCTCACTCCAGAAAGGCATCAGAAATAAAGCATGAAAACTGTTGCCAAAAACCTTGTTAAGCAAGGCTGACAACCTTCTTGCTTACGGGAAAGTTTAAAGAATGATAGAACAGTTTATAAAAGAAAAACTGGTACACAGATGAAATAGGAAGGCGCTGAACTGCAAGCATTGAGTTAAACAAGGATGAAGAAGCAAGGACTCTGCTTGTCTATGTTCATGTATCCATCTCTACAGCAAGATTTTAACACTCCAGAAAACAAATCCCACTGCAAACAGCAGAGTCTTAAAGACAAAGAAGAGTCTTAAACACAAAGCTGCACGGAGACCTAACATCACTCGTTCCCTTCAACCTGGGCGCTGCTGCAGGTTGTGCCAAGGATCGTCCTTCTGCTGCAACTGGAAACATTTCTGACACCGAGGGATAGGCTTGCATGGCCTTGTTCAGCTGAAGATGACGTGAAGGCAAACACGCTACTGTTCCTGAAGCCTTTCAATTCTTTTTAATAGTGAGTGTTAAGGAAATCTTATTATTTATGTAGTTAAATAACAAAAAAACATGCTGGTGTAGAAATTCCAGTAGAGGAAAATCCCTATGCGTGCAACTGGTATGTGTGAAGTACAACCTGTGAACTATTCTAGCTTCCTCTTCTCATTTCTAATGAACGCAGCCAGTTAACCCCTTCCAGAGCTTCTTAATGTATCAGTGCGGTTACTTCTGAGCTGCCCGCTTGCTGACTTCAGGCTGAAACAGCTCCGTTACTGATTTTTGGTTTTGCCTATAGGTCTGTTCTCATCCGAGGCCAGCATTTCTTACGGCTTCGTTCTCTGAAGAGTCTGACTTGGCAATCTTGCAAAGCAAGAAAGAACATGAACTGAACTTTCTTCTTCCAAGACGGACATTTATTGGTGCATGAGCTGATTTAATCACTGGCTCTTCTGCTTGGTCATGCTTCCAGAGGTACGACCTGCCCCCTCCCTTCTGTCAGCTGGGATGTTAGAGCTTTCCACAGGCTGGCTTAGCTCTCTGAAGTTACAAGAAAATCCACCTCCTCCCTCGCTTGTGCCGAGTTACATACTTAGCAGATGGAGTGTGAGAAGAGGAATATGAAATGTGCCTATGAACGGTACAACATGCTTTATTATGAGCACAATTCAGAATTAATCTGTTCAATCTACAACTTCCCAGGGTGAGTTACTGAGGTGCGGCCCAGGCGACTTCCCCGCCAGGAAACACGGCACACCCGGTGAAGGGCAGATCTTTCAGAGTGCTTTCAGACACGGCTTGAACAATCCCATCGGCAGGCTCATCCCTCAGGATTCTCCCCGCCCCACCTCCTCATCTGGAGGTTGGGACAAGTGTGTCTGGGATGGGCCAACAGGCACCAGCCTACGAATGAGCCCACAGACGCGTTATCTCTTCGCTTCAAGTCTAAAACCCATGTGATTTTTAGGAAGAAAACACAACGGAATCAAGCGCAGGGGAGTACAGGCCAAAGAGCAGCCGTAATGCCCCAAGCTCGAAGAGGGTGGTATCTTCATCTATCAGCTGCACCTTGTGAGAATGGCAAGCGTGCTGCACTGGAGTTGTTGCAAACCATCCTTAGGGTATGATTAAGAAAAATACCTCAACTTAGTATCAGGTTTCAGCTCGTAACTAAACTCCAAAAAGCAGAACCATGATGGAACAAACAAATCCATCGCTATCAGACTTTGGCTTATGTGTATGCGGCAAAGGAGAAGAGCCAGAGTCCATAACACAAATATCACCAATTATTCCCTTGAAATGTCTGTGCTCATCAGTTAAAGGCATCTGATGTTCCACAATTAAGCCACACAGACAATGTACTGATGGGCTATTGTACCCAGACGGGATGTTCATAAACTGGGGGGATGTCAGGGAAGGATTCTGTTTCCCTAGAAAGGGCATCTATGGTGTCTGCTATCAATGAGAGGGGGGAAAAAGGAACTGCTGGCATTACGCTTTGCTGCTTACAGGAGATGAAGAATCTAAAGATCCTGAGTCAATGCTTGGAAGAAAGGCTCTATGCATTTAAGTAACCTCAGGTACTGTAATTAATGCCCTGTGATGGTTAACGTAAGAAGTTGGCCACTTCTGCAAAATCCAAGGTGACAGGAGACTACAGAACCTGCATGGCTCAGGTGAGAATCAATGCCTGCAGATGGTCAAGACGACGGGGCATGAGACTGACAAACGTGGCACTGGAAAGAAGACCACAGTTCATGTTTAACCAGGGAAGAATTTGCTTTCTGAGATTGAAGACATCTGGGTTCACAAGCCACGAGAATGCAACTCTGAGTAACAGGATCTTCTCTAAATTCAGATTTCCTGCAACAATTCTCTCTCCTGCATGCCTCACGCTACCAATCTGCACAATCACCCAGTACAGGGAAAAGGCTACTCCCAATGACAAGGCGATGGACTCTGTTTGCAGCTTGCTAAAGTGGTTTCATTGAACTTCTACACCAGCAAAAAAGGATAACGCTTGGTAACACCTAAGCAGCTGAAGTAATATAGAGGCGTGTTCCTCGTGAGCAAAGGATGCCTTCCCGTGGCTGCGGCTAGCTTTAAGTCATCACATACGCTGTTAACAACTATAACTACATCAGTCTAGAAACATAGAAAAAAATTCTTCCGGTCTCTCCGTATCCTACCAAGGAGCGAAATAACCTTAGCACGTATTTATCATTTGCTGCTACAACCCAAAAAACATAAGCACACTAACAAAGAACGTGTTTAAATCAGCAGCCTCGTGAAGTTCTTGCAAGATAGCAACACCTCGCTGCTGGTGCTTGTGAAAGATGATTGGCTTCATCCATGGGTGAAAAAAGGTGGCAAAATGCCTTAATCGGAACTAAAGCATTTCTTCTAAAGATGTGCCTTCTCCTCTCTCCGAGACAGCAAACAAGCACCTTCTACAGTGGAACAACTGAAACTGATGCCTTAATTATTAAGCGTGCCTTATCTTTTATCGACGACACCTTAGAAGAAAGCTTTCCTACTCCCTCCCAAGTAAAGACGGTTTCTGATCCATTAGCAAGCCATCTGCATTTTAAAATTTATTTTTATAGGTCAGTTCAAGCTAAACCTCTCCAAAACAACCAGAACCCAAACCGAAGATGAGAAAACCCAATCCCCACGCTGCCACACTTTCAGGTATTTTTTCTCTAACTCTGGAACACTACTCAGGTTCCGTTCCCTGTCCTCTTACGCATGGGAAAATGAAAACATTTGCTACCAGCCTCACTGAAAAAAGTAAAAATAAATATTAGTATCTATCAAAACGAACTCTTTCTTTCCAACCCGCTGGTTATACGCTCAAGGGTTATAAGCTGTTCCCTTCTTTTCCCCATGTGTACTTTCGGGAAGGCCATTTTTGCCCCTTATGCTCCCACAGCTCCTTCGGAGCCGGCGCCGTGTGCGAATACTGCGTAGCCCTTGCTACGCACCGCTCCAGAAATAACATCAGGATCGGTAACTTTTCCTCCCCTCCTGAAATGAGCACCCGGGGATCCGGCATCGCCCACCGTTTGCAGCCCGTGTGGAGCCCCCGAGGAGCGGCTGCGACAGCGGCCACCGGGGCACCGCCGCCCCGCGGGGTTCGCTCCGGTTCTCAGC